TTTTTTTATTGGTCTTATGAAGTATTCTAATTTGTTGAGATAGTGAATTGGTGGGTTTTTGTTAAATGTGAGCCAAAATCATCACAATTAAAAGAACCAAAGACTTAAACTACTTCAGTCTGTGTGCATTGCATTTATTTAATACACGAGTTTCACAATTTGAGTTGAATTACTGAAATAAATGAACTTTTCCACGACATTCTAATTTATTGAGATGCACCTGTATATATCTTTACTAAAAATCAAAAAAAAAAGTATGCTGATTATGTAATGCTTACTTTATTGAATATTAAAGGAGCATATTTGTTAAAGGCACAATATGTAATTTTCGCCGCTAGAGGGTGCGTATTCAAAATAAACAAAGAGGCAAAGGCATAGTTTGATGACGCCTTGACTGAGTGTGGAATCATGGGAGTTGTCGTCTTCATCCCCACAGCCGATTCAATCCGACGGGACTCGGGCCGAAATTATGTTCATGAATGAAGCAGGGTGTGGCTGAAAGCCGTCGAAGTGCAAGGAGGCCGCTGAACGAGCGTGACACAGGGCTCGAAAGCAGCTGAGCTTTTATTATGTCACAGTCGACCGCTTCCGTTCCTTCCTGCGTATGTAGGGGAAAAAGCAGCGCTTTTTTATCATACTATAGATACATGTGAAAGTTCGATTATTATGCTACTCTGTGCGGTCGTCACCTGTCTAATAAAACGCACAACATATTAAAGCGTCTTCATTCTACTATGAAAACGTGGTGTTTTCATGTTTTCTACAAAACAAAACCGGAAATCGAGGGGTTATGACGTCACTGGCAGGCGACACACTGACACGGTCCGTGTCACTATTAAAGTTGCTTATTTCTCTGGATTTAAACATTCTTCGAAACATTTGGGATAGTGTAAGTAGACAAGTCAGCATAATACATAACACTGTTCTAGCGGTTTTTGGATATTTTGATAAAAAAAATCGTACATATTGTGCCTTTAATGAGCTTTGTTTGTTTATTTTACTTAACGCAGACCGTTGATGACTTTTACGCTAAAATGTTGACGGCCATTTTGAGACGAATCTGTTGTTTCCCTTTTCACAGTAGCAAAGTACCTCCATAACGGCACTAAGAAGCGTGGATTATCAATAGAAATCTTGTGTTTATGTGGAGGTTGGAAGAAATGCATTCTCTGCGTAAATTAAGAGGTATACATGAAACCGGATTTGTCTTTATCCATGTTGTTTTGCCGCTTACTTGATTTAAATTTCAGACCATGCCGTGTGTTAGCATGAATGCTAAACATCTGCACATGAGCAACACTGCTGCACGTTAAAATACTGTACATATTTAGCCCTTTCTTTTTGTTTTGTTTTACATCCTTCAGCAGTTTAATCACCTGTCAGCTCACAGTAGTAACCAACTTTGTTTATTGACGTTAGCAGCATTATCCGTAGAGATGCATTAACCAGTGAACGAAGTAACAAACCATTCACTGCAGGAAGGAGTTGTCCACACAGTTTGCCTGGTTCATCTAATGATAGCTTTCAGTAACTCAAACGTGGTTATTAACCTTCAGTCTGTTTTATGCTCCACCATGTTACTGTGTTACCGAGCTGTTTAGCAGGAGAGGGAAGCAGATCTCCGTTTTTGTTGGGCAGTAAGTTATTTGAAGAGGATATGCACACTAACCTGCGGTTGAGAGCTGGTTAAAGCATTGTTGTAATCAGTGGCACTAATGAAAAAATCACTCCGATTTTGTCTCTGACAGCACTGAGGTTGTGCCATTTTCAAATAAAGCAATAAGCCGCGGTTTACAGTGAATTTATAACAGCTAAGGGGCGTTGTTGCCTAAAACTTCCTTAGCTGTTATAAATTCACTGTACTTGTTTTTCTTTGTGTGTGTGTGTGTATAATAAATATATATATATATACACCTTGCTACGTGTACTGCGTTAGGCTAACCGAGACTTGTCATTTGCACTTATATATTGTTGCTCTTTTGTTAGTTTTTTATTTAGGAATGCACCGATACCACTTTTTCCAGCACTCGCCCGATACCGATACT